TCTGCTGAAGTCTGAAAATATAGAACATAATTATGTACATACATATAAGCGGTGAAAGGACCCAGCTAGCATATTTGCCAGACAATTTCTGATATCTGATATTTAGACAAGTCTTACAGGTATCGTACAGATTTCTGGGCGAAGTGTCTGGAGAATTTTATTTATTTCCTTATCCGATATATCTGATCGAATTATGTCCGATTTCGGGCATACACGTCTGATAATTCTTATTTTCCATGATTATTTGGTCAGACATCTGTTGGAAATCCGTCAGCATCGTCGGTAATTAAGTCAGAATTTCCCAGATTTCTAACTTTTTTGCCAACGAGTCTGACGAATATATAACAGATTTCTGGCAATTTTGCTAGCTGGTTAGATGAATATAAAACAATTATTTATAAAACTGAATCACAAAAAAGGATGGCAACTATTACGATGTTCTTTTCTACGCGGTTATATTCAACTCGGGTAGAGCCAACAAGCATAAACGGGCAATTTTCAACTTGAGTTAAGTATAAAACCCAATGCAACCCTGGCTAACACTTCTCAAATCATTTATGTACAAATTTCAACCCGTGTTAAAATTTCTACTGGGGTAGAAAAAATGTGTATATTCTACTCGATTAGACTTGTTAACTCGTTTAAAAAGGTGTTTATGCATGTGGGTTGAATTTACCCGAGTGGAATATAACCGAGTAGGAAAGAAGCATAAACATATATAGTATATAAACATAGCCCCACCTAGTTTGAAGACCTACTTGAAGATGATTTTAGCGTTATAAAAATTATCATTCTCGATAAACCCTAAAGACCGCCGAATTCGGGATATAAATAAAATGTTTTGTCGAGAAAATCGATTGTTCGTGAATTTTTTCTTGGATACAGAGTGACCACATTTTTGTCTCTAATATTTTGAACTCCTTATCACCATACCGACTGCTGAGTGGAAGATCGTCCTAGCCCAGTAGCCGCTTCGAAAACGCCCTATCTCAGAAAATGGCTCAAAAAATCCTACTTCAGAATTTTGTTGGAGAACGCCCTATCTCAGAATTGGCTTCAAAAAAACGTTCTATCTCAATTTAAAATGTATTAAAAATATGTTGAAACGCTTAGATAGGGCATTCTTGCAAATTTTTCTGAGATAAGATGTTTTCGAACCGGCTGCCAAGATAGGTGTATCTTCCACTCAGCCGTCGATATCCTCCTACATACATAAGATACAAAAAAGACTCAAGCACTAAACTAGTAGGAATTTTTACAAGCTTTAAAACAATAATTACTATAAAAATTTGCAAAAGTTATAAAACATCCAAAATATTAAGTGTCCCGGCATAAGCCATTGTTCATCAGTTAGCACTGTACATACGAGTTAGTATTGTTTACATTTACCCAAAGTTTAAAGTAGACAAAAAAATTTATATTAACAAATACTTTTTAAGCAAAAACACAACGGACTTCAATTCTAATATAAAAGTATAGGAGCACCGTTAATTTCTTCATGATCCAACGATCGGATCCAAACTAGTTTTAACTAGATGAGGTACCTATCATCTTTCCGATGAAAAAATAATTATCGAGATCGATCCATGTTGTCTAAAGTTATGCTGTAGTATACATAAATATATAGGAGACATTCTTTTTCATATCGGACACCAAATTTGGTGTCACACTTTCGATTGGCTTCAATTTTTTTTATGGGTTCTATACATGAATTACGCTAATACGTGTTCAAGGATTTTTTTTTGTTCTTCGGAGATATGCTCTGTCAACGTTTGGATTTTTTCGTGATTCTGACTAATCATGTACTACTTCAAATCGTTATATCTCGAGTTCTGCGCATCGAAGAGACTTCATTTTAACGTCGTCTTAAAGCTAAAGAAACAGGCTTAACGATTCTATTTATGTATAAGGTGGTCAAGATTGTTCCAAAGCTAACTATTCACAGTTGAACTTTTTAAATATGATTTGCATAGTGAAGACCAGTAAATTAGGGATTTAAAATTATACCATTGTATTCCTTGTTTAATTCTCTATAAAAAAAAACATGTTTAAAAAAGTTGGTCGTTTTTCAATAACTATTTTTAAAGAATTTTTTTTATGATGAGATAGCTTTTTTTGTGAGAGTCAAAAATTTTTTCTAGTTTGTTTTCGAAAACTTATGTTGAGATATACATATTTAGAAAGGTGTTAAACACCGGGTTTTTGCAAAAAGTAAAATTTTATTGCGATGGAATACCTATCCAGATATAATATTTGTACGGCAAGAATTTTCATTATGGCGACAAACCCCTAGAAATGGGCGTGTCAATTTCAGGACTAAAGTTAGCGAGTTGAAGCGAATCGAAAACATAACATAATTTTTTTTTACGAAATCCGTCCGACTTAAAAAAGAATGGCTCATAGATATACACCTCGTCAAGCATATAATTTTGCCTTCTTATTCTGCGTATTTCCATTTTGTTCCCTGATAATAAAATATATTCCCAAGCACGAAAAACTGAGCCGGAAGTAAAAAGTTTGGGTTAATTAAGAAGTCGATTGCTTTTGAATTATACGATTACTACATGCATACATGAGCAAATGAAGTTTAGGTGCACTGATTTTTTTTGCAATACGGGCAACTTTTTTTTGATTATTTTATTTTTGGCAAATTTTTTATAAAAATATGGTTAGTTCTGTAAAATAAACCCCAAAAATCAGAGCTCCAAACCGTGTGCAAAATTAAAGAAAATTCTGCAAATTTTTATTAAAATTATGAATTTTTTAATTACACTATTTTGAAAAATTTTGAATATGCAGTTATTTAGCCCATTCAATTTTAGTATAATAAGGGGCAAGTCTGAGGTAACTAGGACTTAGCAATGATTTTTGACAAATTTTTTTGTTGAAGCTGTCGCTCATTTTCTCCATATAAAATAATGTTCAACGCACGACAATACAACAAACTGATTCTATTTTCATTTAATTTATTTGATATTTTCTTATTCACTTAATTTCGTCCTTTACGTACGCATTATTCCATACATTATTGAACAATGACACACATCGTGCATCACTAAGTATCACCGGGATTCCTCGAATATGTATCTAAGTGTGGAATGCTACAAAGTCAGTTTTTTTATCAAAATAGGACCATACAAGTCACAGCGGTAAAAGAAAATTATATAATTCAGTTGAGTAACGGGTTTAGCAGAAAATCGTTAGCCTAAAAATATGGGGTCGCTGCATCTACCATTTCCTAAATAATTTTAATGCCTGTAGTAAAACGGTTTTAAATAATCGGATTGACGAAGCATGTACTTATACAAACGAGTATTTACATATGTACATTGAAGTAGAAACTCCCGTTTTGTTCACAAGTGAAGGCTTTTACCCTTATCTTTAAATTCGAAATCTTTAGATTAAATTGGTGTGATTGCGACAAATACTTAGCATACTTAACTGACCTTGGTTAAATTTGACTAGTTCATCAATCAACAATCATTCTAATGAAAAATTATGTAATACATAAGTGTTACACTTCAGATTCTCATGTTATTACAAGAAATAAAAAATATTTTCACAACTTTCTTTTTGCCTAACTTTGCAAATTAGCTTATACTATATATTATAAATATAAGTATCGAACCGAATACTTATCTGCTCGCTATGTATGAGTTCCGCTCGCTGAACGAAACATTTTGTATGTGGAAGCAACAGCAAAGTTAGCTATCTTATAGCTGAAATACAATGCCGGCGAACGGCGAACTCACCACAGCGAAATTCGCGCTGTCAAAATTAGAACACCCGCAAGCATATAAAATTGAACACAGCCAAAGCGAAATGCGAAGTTCGCTTGACGGCGTTTCATGGCGATAGATTTATTTCTATCGCCCTGCTGGGCGATGACAGCTGTGCGTGCCAAAGGTGGCCGTATTTGTTTTTTGCTTTCAAAGTTTTAAAAGAAAACAACCTAAACACGACTTTTTTTTGTTGTTTGAAAAATATAGTTGTGGATTAGTTAAGTCTGGCTTGAAACAAATTATTTATAATAATCTTTCTTTGTTTCACATTTATATTTGTTATCATTTCCTCATTTCTAAATATGGTTTAGTTTTTTCTAAATATGGTCACCCAAATTATAAAGGCGACCAAATGGGATCAGCTGTTTTCGCTACCGCTCTAATTCTGTTTAAGTAGGCGAAATAGCTGGGCGAACGGTGAACGACAGCATCGCCCAATTCGGCGAAGTTTGCCGTTCGCCGGTATTGTATTTCAAGCATTAGCTGGACATTGGCATGAATTTCGTTCGTGTCGCCACTCGCTAAGTGTTGTCGAATCGATGGCGGCTTTGGTGGTTTTAAATTCGATTTTTATACCTGAGTACACTTGTGCGAAAAGGTGCTATAACTTTGCTATAACAAACTAACGGAATGTTGAGATTGAAGCGTCGTCGACGAAATAAAACTAATTAAACTGATAAATAGTGAGTATACGTTACATCAAATGCTGTATAACTAAGGTGTAATATTATTTATATGTTCAAAGTAAAAGTTTTTAATCGTTTAATTTTATTGTGTGTTTATAGATAGGACATTTAGTTAGAAAGCTTACATACTTCGGGAGAATTTGGGGTTCTTCAAAATTTTCGTTTTGCAGCTAAAACTGAGTTATGTTCTTAATTTTTATATTTAAACTCGATTTTAAAGTTTTTTATGTCAATAAATATATGTTTTTATGCGGCTACAGGGTGTCCGATACCATCCTCCCACCGCTCCTAAAATGGAGGAGAATGTTTTCTATTGGAAAATTTAAATTAATTTTAAAAAAGTAATACAAAATCGGGTGGTTTCGGAGATTTTCCTTTTACATACATATGAACAAATCTCATTTTATTTTTTTAGTGTCACTCTCTTCTCTTGTCAGAAAAAAAGCACTAAAGCATTATTCTTGCGTTTACTATTTCAATCAATGGAGTTCCAGTAAAAACTAAATCAAGTGTTTGAACAAT